CTCCTCTTCATCCTCCGTCCCGTCATTCTCCTCCCCCCCCTCCCCCCCACCCCCTCCTCCTCCTGGCCTCCCCCAGACAGGTACGAAAGTTAGGTTCGATTATAGTTTCCGTTCCAGATAACCCAACTGAAGCAATTTTACACGGAACCGCATCACTTTGCGAGGCGGTCCCTCTTGCGGCGCAATTTCACAGGGTTGCGTCAGTTTGCGAGGCGGTCTCCCTTGTGGCGGCTGAGCTCCCTAACCTCCACGGCAACTTGCGGCAAAGGCCCTCGACGTCGTGGGCGCCGGTGATCTGCGCCGCGCAGGCCTTCAGGCGGACCCGGTACGCCTCTGCTGTCTCATCCCAACATTTCTTGGGGAGCGTCTTGGTGAGCTTGTCGCACATCCACGAGACCGCAGTCTCGTATGACTTTGCAGCTGGCCGGGCTGCGCCGAGGCGTCCAGGGGGAAGAAAGCCTTGAGGTCGTGGCGCCTCAGCGCCCCGCGGTACTCTTCAGTGATGGCCCCAGAACCCGCGTTGTAGAAGCCATTCCCGCGGTCCGTGAAGAGCACGCGCGGCTGCCTGCCGCCTCCAGGGAAGTGGACATTCAGCAACGCGCGCGCACTTTAGCCGCCATGATCGCGGTCCCCGTCGGGGTCTCCCCAGGGAAATCGTCCGGAAACGGCTCGATATACAGCTTCCCGCGCGGGAGGACGGCAACCCACCATGCCCGCGCCGTGTCTGAACGATTCAGCCTCAAGTGGTGCTTGGGCCCTCGGCGGTTCTCTCACTGCTCCTGTGTGCCTTTGCTCATCCATCCCTTCTGCCCTTCTCGCGCAGACGCTATGTCTTGCAGCTTCTTCTGTGTCCGCGGGGGGGCACTGTTGCAGTGGTCGCACCAAACCATGTTGCCCTAACACCGCTGCAGTCTGTAAGACAGCGCCAACATGTGCTTCGCAAGAGCTCACCGCCGCTGTCTCAACGCATCGTCCAGCGCGTTCCCGCGACAGACGCGGCCAGTTAGTCCATGGCTCGTCGGCCCCCTCATCAAAGCAGGCCTCCCGGAAGGCAGTGTAGACAGCCTTTTTGTTCACGGGTTCCTGCATATCGGGGTTCGAAGTCGCCATTGGGCAAGCGGCCACGACGGCGGCGCGTGTGGTCTCGTCGCCCTGCTTCTTGAGGCGCTTCGCCGCTGCCACTGTGGCGGCCTTTTTCGGGCCCCGGGGGGTGCGCTGCCGGCCGCGGGTGTGCTCTTCCCCCAGCTGCTGCCCCAGGTGCCAGTCGGAGTCCGCGTCCACCTTGTCGAAGAGCCACCCCACTTTACTGCGGCGTCGGATGGTCGTTTGCGGGCGCTCCGCCCTTTGTCTGCCTCGCGCGGCTGGCCGCGAGGGACATCGCACCGAAGGCATTCTTCCCCTCGCTCGCGCCACACCTCGCGGAGCGCCCACGCCCGCGCCAGCTCGCGGCCGCATGGCCCCCCTCCTGGCCAACACACCACGACTCTCTCAACGCCGCCTGCGCCGCCATGGGGCAAGGCAGGGGCTTCTCCCTGGGGCGCGCGCGCAGACTTGGGCCCGGGTGGCCACGGAGGAGGAGGAGGAGGAGGAGGAGGGCGAAACAGATCGAGGCGCTCAGAACCCAACCTGGAGACCATCGTGGATCCGTCGTGGATCCAGGCAGGATCAACATGAAAACGCACGGTTTCGTCGCAAGCGGGAGGTGGAATCCATCGTGGATCAAAGCAGGAACTGTTTGACAAAGTATGGTTTTGCTTACATCCCAACGTGGCAACCGTCGTAGGATCCTTGTGGAAACGTACGGTGTCGTGGACGTGCAAGGTCGAATCCATCCTGGATCCAGGCCAGATCCCAATGAAAACATAGAGTTTCGCGAAATCAACGACGTCGTATCCATTGTGGATCCAAGCAGGATCCCTGTGAAAGCATCTGGTATTGTTCAGATCCCAACATGGGCACCATCGTGGCTCCATAGTTCATCCAGGCAGGATCCTTGCGACAACATCGGATTTCGTTGAATGTGCAAGTTCGGAAGCATCGCGGTTCCAAACAGTTTTTTGATTCGCGCGTCGAGAGCGCACCTCTTCTGGTCGAAGCTAAGCGAGCCGCGCGAAGCTTGAATTAGCCATTGAGGGGGGGGAAAGGGGGAGGGTGCAGCCTCAGAGCGAGGCCGGGAGGAGGCAAAGCCTCGGGATCAGGCGGTGCCGAAGTCGACGTATTTGCATAGACGCGCCTTTTCCAGGAACCCGTTGGCGAAGAACCGGAAGCAAAATGCTTTGGTTGGTGCTGCCGCCAACGGCCCATCATATACACCAGCCTCGAGTTGGCGGCGAGAGGCGACGCGCCTTGCACCCGAGCTGCGTCAGGGATCAGTGAGAGTGGAGAGCGCCGCTGAGCCGAAGTGCAACGTTGTGCCATCGAACAGGTAGCAGGAGCGAGTGCCCCAGGGCCGTGGTCGTCCAGGGTGCCACAGGTCCAAGGTACGGGAGCCGCGCCGGGG